CGAGGAGGAGCCAATGTTGACATGTATGCCCCAAATATTTCTCAGATGCATGTTGTTGATCACAGCAAAGGTCAGCCAGCTGACAGGGAATCGAGGTAAGAATTACTAAAATATATGCTTGATTAATGATGTGCCATCAAGTTGTTGATGACTTTTAGGGACCATATAGATTTTCTTCATGATGATATATACCTAGCCTAGTTCTCCTGCTCCCCTAATGGTGCCCCATCACCAGTGTAACAATCTATCAATCATTCTGCTGGTTGTCCTTATCTCTTATACCTTTTCCAGCACCAGAGACTTCTCCAGAGAGCTGGGTCTTCTCATGTGTCTGAAGTAGGTTAATTTGAACTTGATCATTTGTGCCTTTAGTGAGAACTCTGATTGATTTGTTCAATAATCTATTTGTTGTTTTCTTGGCTGTCCATCAGTGGTGGGTTTCAAAATGTTTTCCCGGGCAGAGTCATGAGCCCGCCCGCCTGCCTGTCTTGCCTTACACAAGTTGGTCTGGAATGATGAAGGGCCATTCCTTCTGCTCAGCTTATGCATGCTTCCACATCTGCAGCTGATCTCTTCCTGGCCAAAAGGGCGCATTTTCGGTCCCAGCGGGGATTCTGGAAGAGTGTGGCTGAAGCGGCTTCGCTCTCCTTCTGCCAGCCGAAGGAAAAGCCCCAGGGAGATATTGATACAAAGTCAATCGCCTCACGGCACAGCCAGTAATTACCCGATCAAGCGGCTACAGCTGATTCAAGTGCCGATCAGAACAGAGATAAACGCAGAAAATTGGCCTCAACGGCTGGCTCGGCTCATGTAGTGGCGGCTCACTGGCTCACTCCCCAACAGCTGTAATCTGCACTAAAAGCCAAGCGGTGACTTTCCAGTAGAACGGACTAGGTTCCACGCGAGCCAAATGGTACTTGTTGATCGCTCCCAGATGTCAGCCACTCCTCACCTACCTATTTTTCTACACTTAGCAGAGAGCTAGATCGTAGCGCTGGACCGGCGATCCAGCCCTTCATGGGGTGGCTACAGCCCCCNAACCTCTTCTAACCGGTTCGGTAGATTTGACGAACCGGTTCTACCGAATAGGTGCAAACTGGTAGGAACCCACCTCTGACCCAGTTCCTGCAACCATTCCTCATATGTTTTAGAATGATTAGACCCCTAATCATTCTTCTCTGCACTCTTTCTGGAGATCAGAATGCCTCATCATTTCCAGAATGCCTCATCAGGAATGTTGCATTTTTGAAAATTCATTTGGTTTGGCTTGACAGTAGAAGTTTGATGTTGAGATCACAGCAGAGCAAAACAAGATCTTCATCCAAATGAGAAAGGTTCAAAGTATTAGCACTAGCCATTGTTTTCCGATTGTATCTAAAGTGCAGATCACTGATCCTACGAGATAGTGTGAATTTAACTCTGATCATAGATAAGCAGAGGAGTTTTTTCCCCACTAAATAATATGGCTTTTCGTTGTTGTTTTTCATATTGTTCTTTATAACACGATTGGTTAAAATAATGGACCAATTAGACCGTATGCTTGTTTCTCTAGTTGCATTAATAAAGACCAGCCTGTTGAAACGATTCCAACTTCAAATTCGCATAATATCCCAGATAATCTTTCATTGGATACACACAGCCAAAATAACTTGAAAGATGGCTGCAGGGATAAATTGCCCTAGTAGAAGAGTGGAGTAGAATATCAATAGGATTTATAAACAAACAAGAAAAACATGATAGGGAGTTTTTCCTTGGACTTGAAGACCTCTTCTGTCCTCTCTGCATATTATGTTCAGTATGTACCTGGTGGGTGATTACTGGTCCCACTGTCCACTGTGATTCTTGACCAAATTTAGACATGATGAAATCCTTAATTTCACAACACATGGATAGACTTCACCAGAGCTTCAACTGATCAACTGTGAGCATCCTAGACCAAGCCAAGTCCAAAAATGTAGAGAATTCCTGGAAACCTGCCACTCAGACCCATCAGCCATCAACAGGCACATAGAGATAAACAACCTCTACATACCTTTCAAAAGAGACAATCAAAAAGCCAACAGGAGAACAAAAAAGAGTAAAACACCTCTTCACCGGCAATCAACATTCAGAAAAGCAGAGATTAACATCAAGAGCAGCTAGGCCAACAATCAAGAAGTAAACAATACCGCAATCAGGGAACTAGCAACTCAGGCAAACAAGCTAACAGTAAACAACAGTCTAATCAAGGAACCATGAAGAACACTGTCACTAACACTGATAGGGCAAGTGACATGTACTGTATTTTTCAGAAATTTTCCACCCCCCAAAAAATTGGGTGGAAATGTCTGTTTGTCTAATACAGCGAATATTGCGGTAGGAGAGAGGGGGGTTGGTTGGGTGCCAATTGATTGTTCTAGAACAAGCTGTGGCAGCAATCGGGCTGCAGTGGAAAATGGGCTGTGCCAAAGAGGCAATGGTGAAGGGGCCACACCGAATGGGTGCCAGTGAATGGGTGGCGGCATTGAATTGGTGGCAGCGGTGGCAAACCGGCCACACCGAATAGCAATAGCAATAGCAGTTAGACTTATATACCGCTTCATAGGGCTTTCAGCCCTCTCTAAGCAGTTTACGGAGTCAGCATATTGCCCCCACAATCTGGGTCCTCATTTTACCCACCTCGGAAGGATGGAAGGCTGAGTCAACCTTGAGCCGGTGAGATTTGAACCGCCGAACTGCAGCTTAGCAGTCAGCTGAAGTGGCTGCAGTACTGCACTCTAACCACTGCGCCACCTTGGCTCTTGAATGGGCTATGGCAAACTGTCTGTGGTGAACGGGCGAGATGAATATCGGATAGATGCTGGGAGGCAGAGGCAGATATTTCCCCCCCTTGTTTTCCTCCCCAAAAGCTACATGTGTCTTATAGTCGGGAGCATCTTATAGTCCAAAAAATATGGTATATAACAAGAGAACAAATCTCTCTCCCTTCTAGCACTGATATTACCTAGTTGGTTAATGAAACGTATGCAAGAAAATAACCAAGGTCAGAGAGCGCTAAGGACCCCATAAACTAATGTGGCTTCCACCTGAGGAAGTTTTATGCTTTACAAAATCTAATTCTTTTGTAATTTTCCTTCGTTTTTAAGACACCGGGAAGCACTATTTCTGAGGGCAGAGACAATAACATATGACATTTGAGTGGTTTCTTCATTTCAAGAAGCTTATTTCTGTGATATCATCATAAATAAACCTAAGTACCTTTATGAGGCAGAAAATTGGAAAGCAGATCTTCAAAAAGGTTAAATATAATATAGTGTGGCCATCCGTTAAATACTTTCGACTGTAATGAGCAAAACCTATTCATTTATTACCAATTGGTACAATAATGCCAGTGAATCAGCAAATACTGTTTTCAAGCTCATTGGGAAATAGCTATGAAATTAGGGACAGAACCATTTGCTGCAGCCTTCTCAGAAAAGAATTTCCAATTGAAGTTGGCTTCAATTAATACTGTGCTCGAATCTCTATGAAAGGAGACCAACAGGGGTGAATAGTGGAATGGGGAGTTGTTGGAGATAGACAAATAAAGGAACAATTTCAAACCTGCATTTTCCCAAGGCGCAAAGGGTGATAATATTGGACAAATAATCATCGGAAGGGATAGATAGGAACAGGAAATGTAAACATTTGAAAGAACAGGTATCTACACTAAGCCATGGAAACAAGTTCTCTTTGTTATGGGAACCATCTGCTTCAACTCTACAGTTGGTATGATGTCCTTGACATGGCTCTCATGGTCTCCAGCAGACTTGTCGAAGTCTCAACATTCTTCAAAGATTTCTGAAGACTCTTCAAGTGCATATCAATTTTTGCTTTTTATTACTGTAAATTTCAATTTTTTTTTCAAATTGAAGTTGGCTTCAATTTAATACTGTGCTCATGTCGGTTTCAAAGCCGAAGAGCCAGTGCTGTCTGAAGACGTCTCCGTGGTCATGTGGTTGGCATGACTAAACACCAAAGGCGCAAAGAATGCTGTTAACCTTCCCACCAAAGGTGGTCCCTATTTTTCTACTTGCAGTTTTTACATGCTTTCGAACTTCTAGGCTGGCAGAAGCTGGGACAAGTAACAGGAGCTCACCCCATTACGTGGCACTAAGGATTCATACTGCCGACTTTTTGATCAATATTTAACAACTGCATAATCCCTTGCAGAGTGGACTTTGGGGAACTGAATGGAAATAGCAGAGTGTTTTAATGGCCATTTGCCCTTCCTGTTGCCATTGCAGAGTTTTGTTCATATTCTCCGTGTGCCCAGAGAGAAAAATATCTGCCTCTACCTATGATTAAACTCACAGCCTCCTGATTGTGAGGCAAGAGCTCCTTCTTTAGGCCACAGCGCCATTCCA